CATTGACAAGAAATGTTGTTAAGGTTGAAATTACACAAAATGGGCAATGTATACAAGTAATGAGTGTGAGTGAGGAATCAAAGGTGCAAGCCTAGCAGAGAATTGGAAACTGAAGGGATGCTTATCAATTGGAGAACAGCAGAACAAATTATGGTATATGATTGTGATGGAATACTATTGAGCTACAAGAAATGATGAGCAGGGTGCTCTCAGAAAAACCTGGAAAGACTTATATGAACTAATGCAAAGTGAAATGAGTAGAACCAGGAGAACACTGTACACAGTAACAGTAATATTACGAGATGATCATCTGTGAATGATTTAGCTATTCTTAGCAATACAATAATCTAAGACAACTCTGAAGGACTTAAAATGAAAAATGCTATCCATCACGAGAGAAAGAACTGATAAAGTCTGAATACAGATTGAAGCATACTTTTTTACTTTTGTTATTTTTCTTGGGGTTCTTCTGGTCTACATTTTAGAACATGACTAATATGGAAATATGTTTTGCATGACTATACATGTATAATCTATATCAAATTGCCTGCGCCCTCAATGAGGGGGTGGGGTGGGAGGCAGAGAATTTGGAACTCAAAGTTTTAAAAACAAATGTTAAAAATTATTTTTCCATATAATTGGGAAAAAATAAAATATTAAATAAATATATATTTTTAAAAGTCGCAAGCCTAGTTGACGGGGAGGATTGAGTTGTCTTTTACAGTATAGGAATGTTTAGAAATAGGGAGGGTCTTGAGAAAAGATAACGAATACATGTTGGGTTTGAGGCCTATGAGACATATAGTCTGAGCTATCCATAAAGCAGCTGGTGATGCAAGACTAGACATCAGGAGAGAAGAAAGCCTAGATTCAAATATTGCATTTGACACTTGGAAGCTTTATGAACCTGAGCAAATCATTCAACTTCTCTAAGTTTTACCTAATCATAAAATTTGGATAATTACACCTGTAGCACTTCATTTTACTACTGTGAGGATCAAATGAGATGATGTATGTATATAGAATGCTAGGTACAGGATAGCTGGGTAGGGCAGTGGATAGAGTGCTGGGCCTGGAGTCAGGAAGACCTGAGTGCAAACATGGCTTTGGACACTTATTAGCTGTGTCACCCTAGGCAAGTTATTTAACTCGGCTTGCTTCATTTTCCTCATCTGTAAAATGAGCTGGAGAAGGAAATGGTAAACCACTCCATTATCTTCACCAAGAAAACCCGAAATGGGTCATTAAGAGTTGAACATAATTGAAACGACTAAACAACAGCAAAAAAGATCAGTCTGGCCATCCACATTGGAAAAACAAAGTGGATGAAGAACACACATTTGTGATATGCAGTTGAAATGGGAAGCCCATTGAGTTAGTTCACCAAAATATGTATCTGGGACAGACATATAGATGAACAATGATAATGGCCCAGAATTGGATAGGAGGAAATTTGGAAATTGTGGTGCCTTAAGTGATCTCAAATTACTTGCCTGATGCAAAAGCCCATCTGATTAATGTTAATGCTCTTCTGGTGTTGCTATATAGCGGCAAACTGTGGAATGTTATGATCACAGAAGAATCAGAATTGTGGGTAACTCAAAGCACAATGGAAAAATGTATAATGGCTGTAAGTAAACTACAGAATATCTGTAAGTGATGACTTTTGTGCAAAAAATGAAAGAAAAAAAGACTCAAAAGCATCTGTGACTACGGAAGGGTGTGAACCAATTACTTATCGAGAGTGACAGTTAACAGATGTGTAGAGTAATATTCATACATTAAAAGAATCAGGAGACCTCTGTGGCTGGGATTCTTAACCTGAAGTCCACGGATAAATTTCAGAGGATATATGAACTTGAATGAGGAAAAAAATATGCCTTTATTTCCCTAACAAGGCAGCTAGGTAAGAGGCAGCTAGGTAGCACACTGCTGTGCCTGGAATCTGTGAAAGACCTGAGTTCAAATCCAGTCTTGGACAGTTACTAGCTGTGTGACCCTGGGTAAGTCACTTAACCTCTGCCTGCCTCAGTTTCCTCAAGTGTGAAATGGGGATCAAAAATGGCACCTACCTCACAGAGCTATTGTGTAGATAGGATGAGGCAACATTTAGAAAGCATTTACCAGACTGACTGGCACACTGTATGAAGTTAATAATCATTTGATCTGTCCCCTCCAGTAATTTCTAAGTGAAACTTAACATCTTCTTCAATTATTAAAAATATTATTCTGCAGCTTCATCAGATGGCCAGAGTGTTCTATGACATGAATAAGGTCAAGAACTCCTGATTTAGTGTGTTGGGTAGATGTTCTAGAGAATATTTACAAAAAAAGATGTGGACAAACATTAAAGAGAATGAGAAAGTAGATAATGGTTATAACCTGAACCAGTTTCCAACGGCTCAGAGTTCAAGGAGCCACTGAAGCATGTGAATGACCATTAGAAACAGAGCACTGGACTGGATAGCTTAAGTGACCCACTGCAATTCTGGTCTTATACTCTTTGTGTTTTGGATTAAAGATAGAACATGAAAGGTTCTGCTTCAAATGTTTGTGCCTCAAATGATCCCCGTAGGGATTTTCCAGTAGCCTACCCTACTGAATAATCTCAACCTATTCCCCAGCCTCTTCATTCAGAAAAAAATACTCCTTAATAGGCCACAAAATGGTGTCTAGGAAAGGAGGCCTAGCTTGATTATATGAAACAACTGGACAAGAAACAACAGAATGAAAATCAGCTAAGCACAGGCATTTATCCATGACAAAGGAAGAGGGAATGGGGTTAGGACTCTTTGAGTTAGCAATGTTGTTTGTTCAGTGTGACTGGGGCAGGGATATTCTCCTTAACCTGATCTTGGTGCAAACTACTAAAGTCCAACCTTCTTCAAGAAGTCTTTCTTGATCCTCCATAACCTTAATCGCTTCCTTCTAAGATTATCTCCAATTTGCCCTGTATATATCTTATTTACACATGGTTGTGTGCACGTTGTCTTCCTCCATTAGACTGTGAGCTACTTGAAGGCAGGGACGGTGTTTTTGCTTTTCTCTGTCTCCTCAGCACTTAGCACAATGCCTGACACAAATGAGGTACTTTATAAATGCTGCTGACTTGACTTGACCAAGGAACCTAGCACTCCTCCTGTCAAGGATATTTTCCCTTAAAGCAAGATGGAGAATTGGAATGGCCAGTTCAGAAAACCCAACTGAAAATTCAGTGAGAAGGATTCATTAGTGACTAGGGATGCTAAAATGATCACTGATACCAAGCGTCAAGAATGACTTCCTACAAACTGTTAGTTCCATCCTCCTCTCCTAACAAAATAATACTTTTTGTTGCCGTTTTTTGCGAGGCAATGGGGTTAAACAACTTGCTCAGGGTCACACAGCTAGTAAGTGTCAAATGTCTGAGGCAGGGTTTGAACTCAGGTCCTCCTGACTTCAGGGCCAGTGCTCTATCCACTGTGTCACTTAGCTGCCCCTGAGAATATTTTTTTAAAACAATAGCTGGTAAGCACAAGATTATACATTTTGGTTCTAGGGGATCCATAGTCTCACTGTGTTTGATGAAAATGGACCTGAATGAAAAGATATAGTTTAGGAAGGAGAAAAGTAGGTGCAGCTTAATGTAAATTACTAGGCAAAGCACGTGTTTCCTAAGCCATCATTTACATTACTGTACCTAGTGCTCATCCCTAGAAAAACAACTGGAAAACATTTATTTTAAGAATAAATTGGAAAATCGGATACTCATAACTTATTCCTTGGTTCCGGCACTGCTTTAGCAAAGAAGTACGGATTCTCTAAGTGCTTTGACATCCACGAGTGCCCAGTGCAACTGAACATGACAACAGAGTTCTATTACTACTGTTTAGTGATTTTACAGTTTAGCAAAATTGCAAACTGTAATAAAATGTTTTACTTAGTCACATTACAATTTTTGGGTGGTGAGACTAGGGGGTGGTTTCATTGGTGTAGAGAAGGACTAACTCCCTCAATTGATGGAGATTGGCAATTCATCTCTAATTTATACAGTCATATAGATAGATAGATAGATAGATAGAGGGCACAGGGTGAGTTGAAGATGAAGGGGTGATATCTGGAAAATAAAATGAAGGGGTGAGAAAGGATTATACTGGGAGAAGGAGAAAGGGAGAAGTAAAATGGGGTAAATTATCTCACATGACACAGACAAGAAAAGGCTTTTACAGTGGAGGGGAAATGGGGGAAAGTGAGAAGGAATTAGTGAATCTTATTCTCATGGAATTTGGCTTAAGGAGGGAATAACATACACAATGGGGTATGGAAATCTATCTTACCCTGTAGGAAAATAAGAGGGGAAGGGGACAAGAGAGCAGGGGGTTGATAGAGGAGAGGGCAGACTGGGGGAGGGGATAATCCAAAAGCAAACACTTCTGAGGAGGGACAGGGTCAAAAGAGAGAATAGAATAAATGGGGGGTGGGATAGGATGAAGGGAAATATACTTAGTTTTTCACAACAGGACTACCACAGAAGTGTTTTGCATGACTACACATCTATAACCTGTATCAAGATGCTTGCCTTTTCAATGAGGGTGGGTGGGGAGGGAGGAAGGGAGAAAATTTGTAACAAAAAGTTTTAAAAACACATGTTAAAAATTTTTTTAAATTAAAAAATAATAATTTATACAGTTATAGAGTTGCCTGGGGCACCAAGAGGTTAAGTGATTTGCCCAAGGTCACACAGCTAGTATGTTTCAGAGCTATGATTTGAACCCAGGTCTTCCTGACTCCAACAGCCATGTCATGCTGCTTCTTCTTAGTTCAAATAATATACTCAGGATAATACAAAGCCCAGAATGTCATTCTGTGATTTTTCTGAATAGGTCCTGGCCATAGCCTTGCAAAGAGTGAAATATGAACTACAATTACCCAAAGTACCTTGGTACCTTGTTAAAGAGTTGGCCAGGGGAGGGAGGCGAATGAACAACTGGCATTTGAACGAGTCAGATAAATAAGCAAACCTGCGCATCCTCGTATGTGTATCGCCCTGGGTCTTTGACATTTTGACTTGTTTTCTCATAGCTGTGAGAATCCAGGTTGATTGAACTTTGGGCTCCAGGAGCCAGAAACTCTTGCCAAATTTCTTCCACCCGAGTTGCCACATCCTGTAAAGGTTGTTTCTTGAGATCTTGGACAGCCAACCAAAACCTTGAATTGGGAGCATAAAGACACCATTAATTCCATGAGGCAGACACATAAAATCATAACTCTTGCTTCTTCATGGAGTCAGGTTCTAGGTCTGACAGCCTATAGCATTAATTCTCAATATGGTCCTCTCTGGGTCACCTGCTCTAATGTCATCTTGTGGAACCCATTTGCAATGGAATTGATTATGCTACAAAGGACTGGATTTACTTCTTGGGAGACCTGGGCATAAACGTTCAAAATCTGATCCATGGCAACGTTTTACTTCCCTTCCTCTACATGTCCTAATTTGTGACTAAATATATGATGCAAGAATGTCAGGATAACATTCTATACGACTACAAGACTGTAAAGGAAAATAACTGTAAAAGACTATGATCATCTATGATCGATGCGATGGCCAATTAGAACTCCAGGAGACTGATCACGCTTCCCATCTCAGAAGACAGGTGTTGGACTGGGGTGCAGAATGAGGCATACGTTTTCAGACACAGCTAATGTATCCATTTGTTTTATGTGATTGTACTTTATTGTAACAAGGGAGTGCTATGTTTTTTTTTTCTTTTGGAGGTAAGGAGAAACAAGAGGGGACTGGGGGAGTATTAAGGGTGATACTGAAAAAAAGGAAGAAAAGAAAGAAAGGAACATTGAGGAATCATTAAAAATAAATAGAAGACAGTAGAAGAAAATTTATAAGCAGACACTGACAAGCAAGGCAGTGTCAGAACTATCATATAAAACTTGAAACATATCTTTCCCCTCTCCCCAAAAACAAAGCCAAGCTGAATCTATGCAGTGTGGAGATTCATAGCTTCCTATGCAGTCCCTCTTTGTGTTCTTTATATAGAGAAATGTTCATGTTCACTGATGTTTAAGTCCAGGATCATAAAATGAAAAGTTTTGTTAAAATAACAAAAAAAAAGTAGTTAGAATGAGTTACAGGGAGAAGTATAAGAAGGAAGATTTGTATGAACTGATACAGATCAAATAAAAAGAACCAAGAGGGTAACATACAACGACTACAGTAACATAAAAGAAAACACCACTAAAAGCGGAACTCCAAAGAAACACATTTAACTCCTGTCAGTAAAGAAGTGAGGGCAGTGGGTCTACAATGCTGCTAATGCTGTCATATGGGGTTGCTTAGGATGGTTGGTTTTGTTTAATTGTTTTTCTTTGTTACAGCGGAAGTGGTGTGTGTGTGTGTGTGTGTGTGTGTGTGCAAATACATGGGAAAAATAACAGTATAAAAGAAAAATCTTCAATTAAAAAACCCACCAAAATAAATCAGTGAGGAGGACTAAGGAAGACCATAGAGAATTTTAGAGTTGATGGATCATTAGAATTCATCCCTTTGCAGATAAGTAAAATAAAATGAAAATGGAATGGATTGACAAAGCTTTTTTTTCTTCAGAGGAAAATGGGCCAAACAGGTGTAGCACTGTCTTAGACACAGCAGTGCTACACAGGAATCAATGTTGAAGGTGCCTGTGGGGAGCTAGGAGCAGTAGGGGAAGGAGGAAGGAGCACTCTGATTAAGTACTCTGTGGGGGAAGGCAAAGAGAAAATTCTTCCTCCCACCTTTCTCTTTCTCTCCCATTAGCCCTACAAATCAACACAGTTGTTAAGAGAGCTGGGCACCAGTGACCAAAGCCGAACCTTTAACAGCGTCCTGTCCCCAGTGATGGCCCCAAAGCAGATACAGTCAGGGACAAAAATGTTTTTGTTGGTGAGGATAGATGATATTAATAACCACAACTGTTCTTATGTATACAGCACTTTTCTGTTTACAAGAGGCTGGTAGGTGTCGAAACAGAGTGCTGACTATGGAATCAGGAAAAACTGAGTTTAAAACCTGCCTCAGATATCTGCTAGCTGTGTGACCCTGAGCAAATCACTGAACTTCTCTCTCTGCCTCAGTTTCCTTATATGTATAATGAGGTAATAAAAACATTTACCTCCCAAGCATGTAATACATTTGGAAAACCTTCAAGCACTCTATAAATGCTAGCTATTATGTTTAACAAAAGTGTTTTCCTTATAAGAACCCTGTCACAGGTAGGATAGCGTATTATTACCCTTGTCTTATAGGCAAGAGAATTGATTCAGAGAGGTTATGAATTTAGTCACACAACTAGCTGATGGTCAAGTTGGAGACTTGAACCCCACATAAGTTGGAGACTGGAACTCCATGTCACAGGGTCTTAGGATTGCTATCTGAAAGGGATTTCAGGGATCATCAACTTTAAGTCCCTCATTTTATAGCTGAGGAAATGGAGACCTAAAGAGGTGAGGTGACCAGCCTGAAATCATAAAAGTTATAAGTAGAAAAACTGGTATTTAAAGTCAGATCTTTTGACCTCACATCTATTGTTCTTTCATATTTGGGGCAGGATGGGTACATCTTCTGACCTGTGAATGGGGCAGGGGGTAGGGGGAATCACTGGATCCATATCTGTTAAAGATGAAAACATGGAGGCTGGAGTTGTGATCCATCCCTAACAACACGGAACAGAGCATTACAGAAAAGGGCAGGGATCCGACAACATCAACACCAACAGCGATGATGAGGATGACAATTGTTATCATCCTAATCATCATCATCATCATCTTGGCATTCTTATCTTCATCATCATTCACATTTATTTAGTATCACACAGTTTACAAAGTACTTTTCTTACAACAGCCTTATGAAGTGGATGGACTCTATACTCCAGTATCAGTGACCAATCTGAATGTTGAAAAGGTGTATTCTAATCTTCATCTTTAGTGAAATCTACCTGTTTTCGTTAAAGGTTAATTACGTTTTCATTTCACACATTTTCAGTCATCTGCACATCGCTAAGGTGACGCCCTGTGGCCATTTGAAGTAACTACAATTTCCTTTATGGGAAGAGAGATCAGCTGAGTATTCAACCGAAGACAACTCATGTGGGCAGTCTACAAGTCTGAAGTCTTCATTGTCTCCTGCTCTTCTTCCTCCTTCTTCTCCTTCTCCTCCTCCTCCTCTTCCTTTTATACCTCACTCCAACAAGGAAGAGGAAAGGGAGAAAAGAGGAGCAGAGAACTCAGAGAGAACCCTGGACGTGGCTTCATTTTAGACAGCAAAGATAATTTAATGGGAAGAGCCAATGTGTAATATTTAAATGTAACGGCCTAACTTAGATGTAAAGTAGGGAAACAGAGTCCTGTCATTGATGGGCTATGTGGCAAATAAAAAATTTGGAGCACTGGTTCTGATATCAGACCTGGGTTCCAATCTCCATTCTGCTACTTGGACAAGTCGCTGACATTCTTTGGGCCCTGGTTTCTTTATCTATAAAATGATCTATAATTTTGGTCTCAAAGCTTCCTTCTTCCCCTATAACCTATGATCTGATCTGATTTCTAAACCATCATTCTGGCCTCTCGGTTTCCTCATCTGTAACATAGGTAACTAACATTAGTTGGTAGAAGCAACATGGATAACATGGTTCTGAAAATAACTCAGCTCTAGCTTTGGCGCTGATTTTCAGGAAATACCTACAACTCAATTAGGCAAGGTGGTATCTTGGACTACCTACCCTGGTACTCAAATCACCATGTAAACCCTAGAGACATCACAATGTTTGTAAACATGATGCATACTTCAATCAGGTTCCATCTTATCTTGGAGCCCTGGACATTTCTCATTGTGAATTGCATCTGATTTCATTTTAGGCCTGTAGCCAGTATTCCTTTTCCTGCCCTCCACCACCACCTCAAATTCTTTACTCTTTTCCTGTCATTGTTTCTAGGTATACTTGTTCTTCTGGGAGTGGGGGTGAAAGGAACATGCAGTGGACTCCCAAAGGAAATAATATGGGAGAATTCTAATCAGACAGTGAAACTGCAGAGTTGTTAGATAACTACTGGGGCTGATTTCCCCATCTCAGTGGCACGGGTCTCTTAAACTCATGAGCCATTCCCTGTATTCTTTCCCTCTCAGATTCTAAGATCGGCTGTGATGCGAAAAGGGGTGCAGTTGGAACTAGGGCCCTAGAGATAGAAGAGAGATAGTTCCGAGTCCTTAATTTTATACATGACCAAACTGAGGTCCATGCTAAAGCCAGCTCTTTTTCATCTCACGACACTGATACAAATTGATATTTCATAGTGGTGCCACTTGTGGGAATAACTGTAGGGTTTGTGTTTTTATGAAAAATGATGGATGGATGGATGAAATATGTTAATGATATTTGGAAATTACCACTAAAGAAACAAGTTAGTTGAGGTTTTCAGTTAAGGTGGTTATATGAAAAGCTGTAAAGGAAACTGAGTCTCTCATGTAACCTCCAGAAAAGATCAACAAAAGGTACCAGATCAGATAGTGATTAAGAAATCCAGAGAGAAACAAAAGTAAGCACTGTCAGCCAGCTGAGGACTGCATAACAAAGCCAGCCAGAAGCCTGCAGGCATTAGGAGAGGGATCCTGTCAGGGATGCCAACATGAGCTCAGGTAAATCACCCAGAAGCCTGGCAGCACTCTTATTGGGATGCTCCAGGAGGCACTAAATCTGCTAGCACTCTGAGCACAGACACACCAGCAGAGGTGGAGGCCAATGGCAGGAACTCAGGAAATTTAGTTCAGGGAAAAATAGGGCCTGAAAACCCCATATACAAGTGTAGGATGGAGAAGAGCCTAACTGGCATAAAAGTCGCCAACCAGGAACTGATGCTGGAAATGTGACTGAACAGAAGAAGACACTACACACGATGAAGAAGTATCATGGGTCAAGAAGTACACAAGAGGTCAAACCAGAAGAGAATATATCCACAATAACTATAAATATAGCCTCAGGGGAAAAATGGCTTGATCATAAAAAAATGAAATGAGGATTGTGGAGGAAAAAATAGAATAAACAGATTACAACAAAAAATAGCAAACTCATTGAAAATCAGGATGGAGCAAACAGAATTCAAAGATACCATGAGGCAAAAAGAAATATTGGAGGAAATGAATTTAAAAAAACCCAGAAGAAAAG